CATTTTAAAGGCTCATATTATGCAAAAAAAATGAATACATAAACTCACGTTAATTAAAAAAAAATGTCCATTAACTTTTTGCTTTGGAGCCTGCATCCTGGATTGTGGGTAAAATGTCTATGCATGATGGGAAAACGCGTTTCGAAGCATGCGCTGGCCATGGAAGGCGGAAGTGCGCTCCTTTTTCAAAATTCCGCCTCCCACGGCCAGCACATGCTCCGAAACGTGTCGCAGTGTACCTTGGGTATCTGACGTGATCACGGCCATGCCGCCGCTGCGTTCCAGCATGCGTTCCACCTGACTCTGAGGGAGGACGTGCGCGCCGGCCGGCCTCACCGCTGTTCCCCTCCAGCTACCATGCTGCTCCAGCGGCAAGCTGACCTCTCCATACCGCAATAGATGACGGCTCTTCTCCCTGGATACCACCTACTGTTTAACCACGGTTTTTATACTTACAATTACCTTATCTATGTGAGTGTTCCTACAAATATATACTTTAATCAAGAGACATATTGCACTTAGAGGTGCTTCTCTCCTCTCACATAGGCCAACATACAGGGGAGTCGAGAGGCAGGACCAAAAATAAAAACGTAGCTGCAAAGACGTCCAGTGTGCATGTGTGGACAAGAGGTATTTGATAGCAGCAGAGGGCAACACAATCTGCTGCTTTCTCTTCACTGTCTAGTCCAGCAATGGGCAAACTACGGCCCGCGGGCCGTATACAGCCCGGCGGACCTTTTAATCCAGCCCGCGGAGCTGGGCTCCCGCTAGGCTCCTCTCACAGTCCGCCCTGAAGACCGGTGTAGCATGAAAATCTGTCTCCTATGAGGATCTGTCCCCCCTGCGCATGTGCCGGAGATCGCCGATCGGCTGCTAATGCCTGAAACTGGCACATGCGCAGATACGTCGAGGGGGACAGATCCTCATAGGAGACAGATTTTCATGCTACACCAGAACGGCGCGGGAATACGGCGAGAGCAACGCGCGGAGTAAAGGTAAGTGAATTGACACAGGGGGGACTTGGGGACTTAATATGGGGGATGAATTAATATGGAGGATGAATTACTATATGGGGGATGAATTACTATAGGGGGGATGAATTACTATATGGGGGATGAATTAATATGGGGGATGAATTACTATATGGGGGATGAATTACTATGGGGGATGAATTACTATATGGGGGATGAATTAATATGGGGAATGAATTACTATGGGGGATGAATTACTATAGGGGGGATGAATTACTATATGGGGGATGAATTAATTTGGGGGATGAATTACTATATGGGGGATGAATTACTATGGGGGATGAATTACTATATGGGGGATGAATTAATATGGGGAATGAATTACTATAGGGGGAATGAATTACTATATGGGGGACTTAATATGGGGAATGAATTACTATATGGGGGATGAATTACTATATGGGGGATGAATTACTATATGGGGGATGAATTAATATGGGGAATGAATTACTATATGGGGGACTTGGGGACTTAATATGGGGAATGAATTACTATATGGGGGATGAATTACTATAGGGGGGGGATGAATTACTATATGGGGGACTTGGGGACTTAATATGGGGAATGAATTACTATATGGGGGATGAATTACTATAGGGGGGATGAATTAATATATGGGGGATGAATTACTATATGGGGGATGAATTAATATGGGGAATGAATTACTATATGGGGGATGAATTACTATGTGGGGGATGAATTACTATGTGGGGAATGAATTACTATGTGGGGGATGAATTACTATGGGGGATGAATTACTATGGGGGATGAATTACTATGGGGAATGAATTACTATATGGGGGATGAATTACTATGGGGGATGAATTACTATGGGGGATGAATTACTATATGGGGGATGAATTACTATATGGGGGATGGATTACTATATGGGGGATGAATTACTATGGGGGATGAATTACTATATGGGGGATGAATTACTATATGGGGGATTAATTACTATGCTTACTATGGGGGAATATTACTATACTTACTATGGATCACACATACACATCATTCATCTACTCTTGGTCCGGCCCCCGGGTCCAATATATGAACCCATTGCGGCCCTCAAGTCAAAAAGTTTGCCCACCCCTGGTCTAGTCACTGGCTGAAGGCAGAGGTTGGGGAAGACATATATGTATTAAGCTCGAAAGAGCAGGGCCCTCGATCCCCTCATGTTTTGCATTGTATTGTATTGTTATTGTTCTGTCCCCCATTGTAATGTACAGCGCTGAGCGAACTATTGGCGCTTTATAAATACTGTATAATAATAATAATAATGTATTACTTTACTGCAGCAAAGAAAAATTTCAGGTTGTCTGCCCTGCTAGACATGGCTGAACACTATGGCAGAGCTCTGTAAATCTCAGAACTGGATGGCCAGGGTAAAACAGTTATCCTATATGTATCTCATTTGTGTTTTTAGCTGTTTGCCTGGAGTGCAGCTTTATACGAATGATATTTCAGGCTCCATCAATGTTATGCTATGCTGTTTATATACAGAGCACAGTACATTGTACTCTTTATGTACAGAGCACATCAATATAAAACATTTTGATAACATGAACAGTTGGGTCTATTAAAGCGTTTAGTGGTCGTCCTTTAGTTGGCTGTCCTCTTGGGCCACATAAGCCCGCCGCTGAGACAAGACGTGAGATTCCACCTTTGCTGCTCTAAGCAGTTGTGAGAAGGGAACGGCTGCATGTATTTATCTTCTCCCTACGCAGGACCTCCTAATAGCTAAAGCAGCATTGACCTCAAGGGAGCTGCTGACTGGGCAGTTAGAGGCTTTTTTAAAGTTTCTCCAGCTGGTACCTACTTAAAAAAGAGCTGCCTTCGCCTAAAATTACAACATAATATTCTAAATTAAGTATGGCATTACATTGGTGACATTAGGCTATGTTTTCAAGTAAAAGCATTACATCACTGAAGTCTTCCCTGCTCGGGAATTTAATAGCTATTCATTTTTATCAACACATTATCCTAATTGATTCTGAGCTGTGTTAGTGAATCAGATTATATTCTGTATATTAAATATGTATGTTTTATATGCTCATTGCTGAAGTTTGCGTGTATAGGCAATGGCTATAGTCAATGGGGGTGGGGTGGTGGAAGGTAGAGATGAAGCTACTTTCAGGCTGAATGCTAGATGGGTCCCTGCCAAATCTCATTTTCCTATGGTCATAAATATCATCAGAAAATTGGTTGGGCTATCAGGCTCTTCTCTTACTTTGCAGTTAAAAGAATAAAAAACAAAATCTTACATATAACGTTTCATTAACCTTTTGCCTCCTACCCATCCTAAGTAGGTCTTGCCCACTCCCCTTCCAAATCCCTGTATTACCTAGATCTCACTCCAAGGCCATTGGCATTGTTTACATCCCACCGCCAATTAGATGATCCAGCATCTGGACTGAAACAGTTTGCTTTGACCATTAAAGTGTTTGTAAAGGCTCAAGGTTTTTATCTTCACGCATGCTATGAATGAAGCAAAAAAAAATGTCTGTGTGCAGCAGCACCCCCAGCCCACTAAAACTTACCTGAGCCCCTTCTTGGTCCAGCGATGTGCACGAGAGCCTCGGCTCTCCCAGGTCTATCCCTCCTCATTGGCTGAGACAGCAGCAGTAGCCATTGGCTCCCGCTACTGTCAATTACAGCCAGTGAACCAATCAGGAGAGGGGGTGGGGCTGAGCCTAGCATGAACGGACACATAGAGCAGCAGCTCAGGAGAGAGCCTGCTTGGGTGCTCTATAGTTAGCTGCTTGCTACTGGGGCACTAGGCAGGAGGCAGGGCCTGGAGCACCTGCAGGAGACCTGGGAAAAGGATCGGGGCTGCTCTGTGCAAAACCATTGCACAGAGCAGGTAAGTATGACATGTTTGTTATTTTAAAAAAAAAAGGACCTTTGTCTCTGATTGAAATCTAAGATGGATCTAGGGGCAGGAGATCTGTTATCATTTATTCCCTTCTGTATGGCAGTTTCAGCTTGAGCTATAGAACTCTGTCAGGGCTTAAAATTTCAAGACCTGAGCTACTAGCCACGCCTTAAGAGTTACTCGCCACCAACAAACACACAGAGACACCTGTACACACACACATACAGTCAGGTCCATAAATATTGGGACATCGACACAATTCTAACATTTTTGGCTCTATACACCACCACAATGGATTTGAAATGAAACGAACAAGATGTGCTTTAACTGCAGACTGTCAGCTTTAATTTGAGGGTATTTACATCCAAATCAGGTGAACGGTGTAGGAATTACAACAGTTTGCATATGTGCCTCCCACTTATTAAGGGACCAAAAGTAATGGGACAGAATAATAATCATAAATCAAACTTTCACTTTTTAATACTTGGTTGCAAATCCTTTGCAGTCAATTACAGCCTGAAGTCTGGAACGCATAGACATCACCAGACGCTGGGTTTCATCCCTGGTGATGCTCTGCCAGGCCTCTACTGCAACTGTCTTCAGTTCCTGCTTGTTCTTGGGGCATTTTCCCTTCAGTTTTGTCTTCAGCAAGTGAAAGGCATGCTCACACACACACAGACATGTACATACACACACACACAAAGATACACACACAGAAACATGTACACACACGCACGGAGACACATATACACACACACACACACACATACAGACACATGTATACACACACAGGCACATACAGACACGCATACACACAGATACATGTACATACACAGAAATACACACGCACAGACACATGTACATACACACACACATGTACATACATACACAGACACATGTACATACATACACAGACACATGTACACACAGACACATGCACACACACAGAAATACACACACACACATGTACATACATACACAGACGCATGTACATACATACATACATAGACACATGTACACACACAGAAATACACACGCACAGACACATGTACATACATACACAGACAGACACATGTACATACATACACAGACACATGTACACACAGACACATGTACGTACATACACACAAACACACACGTACATGCACACACAGACACATGTACATACACATACATTTACATACACGCAGACACATGTACAGACACACAGACACATGTACATGCATACACAGACACACACGCACGCACGCTGTTAAGTGCTCTCTCCTCTCCCCTGAAGCCACCACTGGCTGACATAGAGGATCATGTGACCAGAGTGAGATGAAATTAGGGAGTCACACACAAAACACACACACATCCCCTAAAAGTTGCAGTACTTCTATGTTCACTCACAGAGCCGGGTACTGCACTCTAGGGGGAGGCAGAAAGCACAGCACACACTCCTTGCTCTGCTTTCACTGCGCTCAGCTATTGAGCAGTCTGACGGCTCCCAGTGCCAATGACAGATCCGGCCTGAGCTCTGAGCCTGCTCAGCAAGACGGCCCTGGAGGACACACTCGCCCCCACCATAATTTCCACTCAACATTGGCGAGCAGGCGAGTGGAAATTTCAAGGCCTGCTGTAAACTATATACTGTTTACAACAGGAAGTAAAGAAATTCTGGGAAATGTACAATAAGACATAAAGCTTAATCAGTTGGCTCAAAAGGAAATTCCAAAATATTGTTATGTAATATTGAAAGCCAAACTTCTCCAAAATTCCATCTCACTATGAGGTCCTCCTCAGTGCTTTTTTTCTTGAGCATACTTTTCCTTTTCCACTGTCTTGTGCCTTGTTATGTGACATTCTGAGGTCTCTTGTTTCCTGATCTCTGTCAGGGGGGTCCACAGAGATGCAGAGGGTGGTGCTGACATGATGACATCATTGTTGCTGTTGTCATCAATGCACCATGAAAGAAGAGTGTCGTACTGATGCCCACTGGGGGGGGGGGGGGTCATGGCACCCTGAATTTTTAGTATGCCCTTATACTTCTGAGTAGAATGATGCCCAGCATCAAAGTGAGGACATCTTGTGACAAAAAAGGGGTACTGCAGGGGACAGCTCCAGATTGAAGGTGAGCATTAATCTGCCTCATGGATGAAATTAGAATTGGTAAGCAATTGGACTTTCTTACTTTCAACTCCATCTGGGCAGGTTTTATAACTTTTAAAAACTCTGAAATTTTTAGTGACTAAATGGCTAGTGTATGGCCATGGCATTGTCAAGTGATTCACTCCGTGCAGACAGTTAACGTAGAAAAAAAGCTGAAATCTACCTATTCTGAAAATGTTACCTACCCCTTCTTCCTACCTATGTTGTGTAACTTGTATTAAAAAAAGATGTATATACTTACCTATTTTTAATATGTTCTGGTCCAGTCAGATGATCCTGCAGCCCCAGCTCCCCAGTGTAAGTGAGCAGCTGCTGCAGGGAAGGGGAGGGAGCGCCGTCAATGGCTGGGCGATGGGAATCTATGGGTGACGTCACAGTTACCAGAATTCCTGGAGCTGCGGGATCACTGGCCTGGACTGGAGTGGATTAAAAATAGGTAAGTACACATAGGTTAGGCAGAATAGGTAACAGGAGGAGGAGGAAAGTAATATTTTTAAAAATAGTTAGCCTTAGGCTTTTCTTCCACTTTAATTCTAACACTGTATGGCTGAACCCTTTTTATGCAAAATAAGAATGTGAATGGGAAAAGAAAGTTGCATGTCCCCCCTTTTTTTTTCTCCCCAAACCCACCCCCTCCCCCCACCCTTTATTAACCATTGAGGAAAGGGAATGGGAAGGTACTGATATTTACAAAAACTCAGAATCTGGTGCAGCCGTGCATGGTAGTCAATCAGCTTCTAACTTCAGTTTGTTCAGTTTCCCCTGGTTCACATATATGCGGCCGTGCGGGCTGCGTTTTGCACGGCATGAGAGCCTATTCATTTGAATGGACTCCCGTGCCCCGTGACATGCAGGGAAGAAGTCCCTGCACTTCTTCTGAAAACGCAACCCACACGGGAACCTCTGTTCCCAGTACGACTGTGTTTTCCATGGCTGGCGGCGTGCCATTAGAACTATTGGCACCCGCCTGCTGGTCCATATTGCTCTATGTGGGTGTTGCGGCTGTACGGATTTTGGTGCGGATCCGCAGCCGCACCACCCGCACCATCCATACAGATGTGAACCTATCCTTAGCCCTGGTTCACATATATGTGACTGTGTGGGCCGCGTTTTGTTCGGGCACGAGAGCCCATTCATTTGAATGGACTCCCATGACCCTGGACATGCAGGGAAGAAGTCCCTGCACTTCTTTGGAAACCGCAACCCGCACGGGAACCTCGGTTGCCAGTGTGGTTGTGATTTCCAGTGCGGGCGGCGTGCCATTAGAATTAATGGCACCCACCCGCAGGTCCGCATTCTTCTGTTCAAGTGGTGCAGCTGCACAGATTTTTGTGCAGATCCGCAGCAGCACCACCCGCACAGATGTGAACCAAGCCTTAAGGTTTGACAGAAAAACCAGGAAGCTGATTGGTTTCTATGCACAGCTGCACCAGATTTTGCACACTCCAGCTTTAAATCAATTCCAGTATGTGGTTACATTTATTATGAAATGCAATCTGCAAAGTTGTGTTGCATAAATGTTTTTTTTTTGGAAGATATATAAAAAATTTGATTAAATGAAAGAGAAGTGGAGGTCTATTTAATTTAAAAAATAATTAAAATAATCATAATAATAAAAATAGTTTGCCTGGAGCTGGACTTTAATATTTAGCTGTTTTAAAAATATATATTTTTTAGCCCCGACCATAATAAGGAAATTGGGTACAAAACTACTATGCACTCCTTTAACTCAAAGGTGTATTGTTTTCTGTACCCTATCACTTTACCTGGGACTGTCTTAGTAAAATGTCCCACTTAGCTGCTGCAATTACATGTATATCTAGTCCCTTACCCTTGCTCTTGTGCAGTATTAAACATGCCAGCTACCCAATTAAAGCCTTAATTCATAGTACATGTTTAATGTGATGCTCTTTAATAAGCCGCTCTGTAAATTAAATTCTCATAAAATGACTCTGGCTGTTGCATTAAATTTTAATCCTAATGAGGCTTCCGCTTTTTTTTTCCCCGACACCTTTCTCATCAATGATTTTGGTTCAGAAGCTTAGACAATGGGTTCCGACACTGCTCAGTGAGTTCTCAACTTTACTTAGACCGGCCTCTTGTATGTTGAGTATAATTATGTTTATGCAGTCCTGACAGTGTTCTTAATGACATGGTAACAGATTGTAAAACAGGCAGTTGGCGTTGGCTTTTTTTTCTCCCATAATATTTTTAAAACTGTGTCCTTCATGTAACAGTAGTTAAGCGTGGCAGAAGGACATCGTTAGAGCCATGGTTAAGCTTTTAATTTACACCATTAGGAAGTCAGGAGCCATTTTTATTGTCTGGCAATTTTCTTGCTGAAATATTTGGACCATATGGTTCAATTTGTGTAATAACCTTAATTTCAGTACCCTTCAAATCAGCTTTTGCCTCACGGAGAACGGCAAAAACGCGCTTTAGCAGATAAGCGACCGTCTACACAAAAAAAAGAGGGGGAGATTAATAACTTGTCATGTCCTGTTTTTGGTGATGGAATTCAAACATCAGCCAGATGGTATCTCTGGATATAACTGTCAGGGGTCCTGATCTAATCAATACAATATATTAATACATCTCCCTCCTTTGGACCTCAAGGGGGAAGCTCAAAACATCTGGAACGCATGTGGAGAACGCCAAGCGGAAGGCTGATTCCTTTTCTTTCCCTTCCAGAATCAAACCGAGTTCAATTAATTTTTCATGTATACTTGATAAGTGTTTCATAATGAAATAGGAGTCTTGATGGATCTGGCCTCATCATTTGGGGGAAGTCTTAGGTTTCTGTCCCCATTCAGTCCGCTTTTTGAAGCCAATCCATTAATCAAACTTACTGGCATCAGATTGTGATCTCAGCTCAGCAAGAGATCAATAACCATCTGAAAAAATAGAAATATTTAAAAAGGAAGAGCTGGCATTAATGGGCACAGATACCTAGTTATGATGTAAGCCGTATTAATGGAAAGGTCATGCTGTGTTTCCAAAATGGATGTTCAGAAATATGGATAATCCAAAAAATATATGCTAAAGTATTCAATGGGGTTTTATATTCCATACCAACATTATGCTGATTCTGAGAAATTAGCAAATTAATAATAATCTGTGAATTGCTTATTAAATTGTTGTTTAATTAGGAATTATGCAATGTTAAAGTGGTTCTAAAGGTTGAAGGTTTTTTACCTTATGCATTCTATGCATTAAGGTAAAAAACCTTCTTGGTGCAGCCCCCTCTTATACTTACCTGAGGCACATCTCAATCTAGCGATGTGCATGAGAGCAGCAGCTCTCCCGTGTCTCTTTCTTCTCATTGGCTCACAAAGCAATGGGGGCTATTGGCTCCTGCTGCTGTCTATCACAGCCAGTAAGCCAATGAAGATAGAGTGGCAAGTGTGGTTCGAGAGGGAGCATGCTTGAGTGCCCCCATAGCAAGAAGCTTGCTATTGGGGGCACTTGGCAGGGGGGAGGACCTATTGAACCATTACACAGAGAGGGAAGTATAACATGTTTGTTATTTAAAAAAGTGTTGCACTCTGAAATAAATACACTGTGGATTGCTTTTAAGTGGGCAACATATTGCCTTCTCATCGCCTGTTTTAATCCCTAAAAGCCTGAACTGCAATTGCATGGTTGCATGGGGCCACATTCACTTGAATGGGTCACGTTCGGTGGACTGTATGTGACAGAGGCATTTTTGCCATCCCAGCCGTGTCATGTGTATGCCCCTGTTCAGCTGCCTTTGTGTTGATCTATCACAAAAAATCCCAATACAATACATTTATGTTTTTGGTATGAAGACTTTTTCAGGGCACTGTACCTACCCATCCTTCACTATGCCCAGCCAGCAATCCACCAAACCATACAGTACAACATAAGATGGGTAATAATAACCCTTCTGGAGTATCCAAGTGAAGCACCCTCCAAAATAGGTTGTTGGGTTAGTTAAATAAATTTAGTTCTTTTGACTCCTCTGTAATCAGGGGAGCAGTGTGTGATTGATCTGGTCTGCACTGGCTGTGGGTTTCCATGCTTCCCTCTGCCTTCTGGATAGTTCTGGAATGTAGTGGGCTGGATGAAGCAAATCATCAGCTGAATATTTATGTTATTTCAGCCAATTCCTGATAGAAAGTGCCTAGATGGTATAGATGGTAGCTGGGAGTGGGTATAAATACGCTGAAACCTGGAGCTGTTCTTGTCCAGGAAGGGGCTTTTTCAGGGGCACTTCCAGGCAGCCCAGCTGAGGATTAGCTAGCATGTGTTCATTGAGGTCCTGGCTGTGGCAGAGCTTGGGGGGCCTAATTATTGAGAATCTTTGAGCCTGCTTAAGGGACTTCACTAAGGATATTTTTTGTCTCTCACAATGAGGATCTACCTTTGGATGTTGGATGGCAGACAGCTTTAAGAACATTCTGAGTACAGACCTCTGGATTCTGGTTGGAAGACAGCTCCAAGGACATTGTGAGTATAGACCTGTGGATGCTGGGTGGAGGACAGCTATAAGGACATTGTGAGTACAGACCTCTGGATTCTGGTTGGAAGACAGCTCCAAGGACATTGTGAGTATAGACCTGTGGATGCTGGGTGGAGGACAGCTATAAGGACATTGTGAGCACAGATATGAGTGCTGGATCCTAGTGACTATTTGCCGCTGTTATTTTTGAGCACTGTTGTCAGTGCCCGCATGTATCAGGACATTTCCTATAGAGTCTTAGTGCTGTTCAATCCTCAGGCTGCTACTGGAAAAACTATGCTAGGAAGCTTTGATATCATGAAGACTGTCCTCTTATCATTATACTGTCCTACTTAAGAGTATCCCCCAGTTTTCCTCCATCCCCATCCAAGTTTAATCAGCAATAAATCTACAAAAAGAACAAACCCCTAGACTATTCATTGAGCCAAAATAGTAACTGTTGCTGTGTGCCTGGCTGCAAATACCCTAGTTTGGGAGAGAACCTTGGGAACATTCAGCGGGCCCTTTCGGGTGTTACAGGTCACTATGCTACCTTCTACTACCCATCTTACCTTAGGATCACAAACCAGCCACTCCCGTTGTAATCCTGATAACAGTGTTCAGTTGACATCTCAGTATGAAGACATATTTCAAATAACTGGACTAGCTGAATTGAAAAACAGTAGCTTTGGAAGAAATATATAAGCAAACTAAAGCCCATTTTTACATATTTGCCTGGAGTTCTTTGTTAAAGAAACGCATATCACTATGCTTCTGACTCCTTTCCAAAGATTTATAAAGCTGATACCAGTGAGCTCAGAGCTTTCTGATCACTTGACCACTTGCTCAATAAGACTGGCACTAGGATGACATCTTATTTCACATCCCAGTGCACAGCTATCAACCGCTGACAACTTTCAGCCGCAAACGACCAAGGCCTGATTTGAACCCACGACCTCGCAGGTGAAAGGCTCCATACTTGTGACAATCCACTAAGTCATCCATCCTGCCTGTGAATGGTGCTTCTTAATTGTTTGCTTTAGTGGACATTATAACTATGCGCCAATGAACTTGTTGTGACCTAACCGGGCCCAACATAATTGTTTTTTCAGAATGGACTTGATTTACTAGGTCCCCATTTGAAAGAATTCAGATCCCGTGTAAGCCTCCACCTCAGGGTCAAGATTTATCCCCGTCTATGTCAAAGGTCAGAAATGTAATATCTACAGTTTAGAGAGCCGAGTCTTGGTCAATATATAGAGATTTATGACATTTATAATAGATTAGATTATTTCATGTCTTCTTTTTTTTTTTAGAGTTGAACTGGTAGTTAGTATGTGATGAAGGGGTCAAAAAGAGTAGCTTTAGCAAATGAACAACATAACTTTCAGCATCGGTGTGCAGTCTCGTAGAAAATGAGGAACAGGGACCATCTCACCTGTCCAGAGAAAAACCGGGCAAAGGAAATTGTCTTCTAAAGAGCAACTTAAAAGCACGGACTGGTTTTAAAGGGAAAGCATTACCATTTTTATTGAGTACTTCTTTTTCAGGGGCCTCCAGGAAAGCAGCCAAATACATAGTTGATATGTTAGTCTTCTAGTTTGCACTTACTGTATGTGAAGTGTTTTGTATGATAAACAATTTTGTATTCTGTGTAGACAGTCTTTTGATTTACAAAGCACTGTACAGACAGGAAGATGACTCTCCTGTTTCCTATTTTAGTTTTACAGCCTCTAATGTCACTTGCCAAATTGGACAATGGATTAGTAATGTGACCATGCTCATTCATTGTTCAGTTACAAGACTGGCTGAACAGAATTATTAATCCTTTGGGAATTAGGGCAGCTCATACATTTGTAGTTTAACTGTAGCAAATAGTTTTCTGGGAGTTCCATTTTGATTATTTTTACA